GAGGATAGTAATAAATCATTTTCTGAAATTTTATTACTTTGAGGCAAATTTTGTAATATGTTTTATAATGTATTAGTGAATAATGTAAAAACAAAGAGTGTCAACAAGGTTTGAACCCATTGATACAGGGGAGTAACTAGGGGAGGGTCAACCCTAGCCCTGGCACAGCCAAAATTTAAAATATGTCAAAAAATTTAGTGTAAAAAATTTTCTGAAAATATTCTTTGTGCCGATCCAGTCTGGTCCAGTGCTCTCGCTCCACCCTTGCATTGATGATCGATGGGTGAACCATGTGTGGCTGTGTCTTGGGCGGTAAGGACTTTGTTGAATTTTTGTAAGTGAAAGAGCCTTGACTCCTCTCATCGTGTGCAACGACATTACATAGAATCAATGTGATTTTGGGATTAGATAAGTCACAAATAATGAGTTTAAACTAGGGATGGACTCGGGTCCGGGTCGGGTCCGGGTCGGGCCTAGGCCCGGGCGGGCCGGCGGTTCAGAAGTGGTGGACCAGGGACCGGTCCGGGCCGGGCCGGGCCCATTATCAATTTTTTTTCCCTCTTCCTAATTAGCCCCCCTCCCAACCCCAACCCCCCAAACCACCCCAAATGGCCCAAAATACCCAGCCCAACCCGAAAATTTAAAAAAAATTGAAAAAAAAATTGTTTTGGCCCGAATCGGACCCGGGCCCGGCCGGGTCGGACCTTGTTTTGGGTGACCCGAGCCCGGACCGAAAAACCCACGGGTTGGGCCTACCCAGACCGGTCACTGACCGGGCCACCGGGTCGGGCTGGGACGGAACTGTACCGGTCCCAGGCCGGTTCCGGGTCGGGCCACCTGGCCCGAGTCCATCAATAGTTTAAACCCTCACTCTCAGGATGTTTTTACTTGGAATATAATTTGCTGGTCAAGTCTGGTCTAGTCTGGTCTATTTTGGTCTGGTCTGGTCTGTTTTGGTCTGGTCTGGTCTAGTTTGGTCTGAAATTTTATTTTTTATATTTTTTTGCATAAAGATTTTATTTTTTATATATATTATAATCCATAAATAATTATATTTTATTCATTTATAATTAAACATAATAATATTACTTCCAAATTATCGAAAATTGTTATCGTTTTAATTGGATTAATTTCAATCCCTGACCGAAGCAGATCATACAAACCCAGAACAATAATAAAATAGTACAAGTATTAATAATAATAACAACAATAACAATACTACTACTACTAATACTAATAATAATAATAGTAGAAGTAGTAATAATAGTAATAATAGTAATAGTAGTAATAATAATACTACTACTACTACAACAACAACAACAGTAGCAGCAACAACAACAACAACAATAATAATAATAAAATATACTCTGGTCTGGTCTGGTTTGGTCTGGTCTGTTTTAGTCTAGTCTGGTCTGGTCTGATCTAGTCTGGTCTGGGATGAATTACAGTCCAAGTAAAAACAACCTTATACTTAATATGAAAAATTTCTAAGAGTTGCTTAGAATATTTTCTTTTGGACTTTTTCAGTCCCAGAATAGACCAGACCAGACCAGTTCAATCCAGATAAGACTTAAATAGACCAGGTCAGACCAAACTTAAACAATCCAAAGAAGACCAGGATTTGATAGTTAAGATGTTTTCTTTTGGATTATTTTCGGTACCAAACAAAACCATACCAGTTCAGACTAGACCAGACTTTAACAAATCAGATTAACCAGACCAGACCTTAACAAAACAGACCATACTTAGACAGTTATAAAATACACAGAGACTAGACATTTACTAGACCAAACCAGACTAATTCTGACCAGACCAGATCAGACTTAAATAGACCAGATTAGACCAGGCCAGATCAGACCAGTAAATTTCAGTCCAAAAGAAAACATCCTTATACAAAAGAAAATTTCAGTCCAAAAGAAAACATCCTTATACAATACACAGGCCAGACCAGACCAGTAAATTTCAGTCCAAAAGAAAACATCCTTATACAATACACAGAGACCAGATATTTACCAGACCAGACCAGAGTAGAATTAAATAGAGCAGACCAGATCAGATCAGACCATTAAATTTCAGTCCTAAAGAAAACATCATTAACACTTGATTTAAAACAACATAACTCATTACTCAAGCAGTTGAGTTAAAAAGGAATAAAAAAGACCGACGACAAAAATGACGGATCTGTATGATTCTTTTTACTCACTGTATTTTATTGATTGATATCGATATATAATATTACTATATAATACTAAAAAATTAAAAAAATTGTGTCCCCATAAACTTGGAGGCCTTGTTTTGTAGAATCGGTTAAACCTTATAAAAACTCATCTGCTCTTCCGAAGTTTATAGGGATAATAAAGTTTTTAAAAATAAATAGATATTTATGATAAAAATAAATATTGTTTACACAAATGTGACTAGTGACTAGAGTAGTAATAAAATCATACCAAATTAGGTTCAATTTTTAAACTTGAATTACCATAACCCTACATTGTACTCCATAATAATTATTAATTAGGGAGAACTATCAAATAAACCCTCGAACTTTCATAAAAAGTGCAAATAAGCCCTTTTACAGGGGGCTTTTGTCATTTGGGGCAATTTCCGGTGGAATTTTTTGATGAATTTTTTTTAGCATCTTCTTCATTAAATCTAGTTTACCCATATCGAATTTTCAATCGAGAAGACAGTCAATGTTTTTTTGAAGTGTATTGTGCTGTCTAACTGCGCAGTTATCTTCAAAAATTCATTTGACTGCCTTCCCAATTGAATTTTTAGATGACATTTGGTATGAATAAACTAGACTTAATGAAGAAGATACTCAAAAAATTTCATCAAAAAATTCAACCGGAAACTACCCCAAATGGAGACGGCCGGACAGAGCCTCCTATAAAAGGGCTTATTTGCACTTTTTATGAAAGTTCGAAGGCTTATTTGACAATTCTCCCTATTAATTATATGTGTATTCCCATATACACATATACCCCAAGGGTATCATAATCACCGGCAAGAACATTACAGATCCATCCCAGAATTCACAAAGTACCAAACTCCCGATGGGTACCGACCCCGACCCCGGGTCACCGAAGTCGGGAACAAGCCCAAGACGGCAAATTGACAAGGACAGAGGACTACGCCAAGGCCGACCTCGACCCCCAAGTTCAGCGGAAACATCGACCTCCGGAACCACCCAGACATGGAAAAATATGAGGCTGACCTCGAGCACACTGAGCCCGGCACACACTCTGACCTCAGGTACGGGCACAAGGTCAGTCGAAGTCAAAACAAGAAAGTCAACGTTACAAGACAAAGCCAGAGGCAGAGGACACATTCCCTGGCGATGAGCCTGAGCATCCAAATACTGACCTCAGTGGGCTCGAGGTCTGACTGAAACATCATGGACTGAGACAAATACGTGGGAACAGACATCACACAAGGCTGCTGCCACATCATCAATACTTCTGAGAGAGGCCATGTCACTCCTAGCAGCAAATAGGAGGAGTATTCCGAACAACACACGCGTAACCCGCACATATGTTCTAGTAATAATTTGACAGAAGCAGTTTCAATCAGTCAGTTGCCCCAATTATCTCTCCAATCACCTTTACATGTGGCGGCACCCCACTGATTCAGCCTGTTAATTTGTTAGAACGCACATGACACGCGTCATCTCCCCATTAGGTTAGCACCGTTTTGCTTGGACACCAAATATTCCCCTTTGTATAAGTAACACCTTCCAACTTGTGGAAAAGGATCAATTTCTCTACTCTCTTGTTGTCACTCTGCTAAAATATCTACTTGAGTTTTTTGATCAACTCTTCTCTTTTCTCTGCTCGGATTCTGGCTACCCCTAGGTCGATGATCCATCAAATATTTTTGAAAAAATCCAAAATTTGATAAAGTGAGAGCTTATTTTTGGAGTATAAAAAATTGAGAACTTAACTTAGGCGCCAAAAGAGTATGAAATTAATATGAAAATGATGGATAGAAGTCGCAGATCCAGAAAAGCAGAGAAGGAACTGACTGGAATTGTGACATATTGGAGAAGAAACAAGGCCTTCACATCTTCCGGGATTGCATGTTAGCCAAGGAGGTGTGGCGCAACAGAGGGGGAAGCATGGTGCGCAGATCAGCGACCGACTTCGAGGAGTGGGCTGCGACAATAACTACTAGCGGGTCAACGAAGGATTTTAGTAGTTTTATTATACCTATTGGAGTTTGTGAAAGGCTAAAAATGATAAACCTTGAAAGAATATAAATCCAAATTCGAAGGGAGTCTTGGCGTGTTGTGATGTTGTACTCACGGGGTGGATAGAAACCAACAAGCATCAATCAATGGTGAATGATTCTCGAGTAGACCATCCAGCGAAGTGATGGACATGGTTTGGGACTTGTAGACTGTAGCTCAGGCTAAGAATAGTTCATTTATTGCAGGTAAAGGTGTGCACAAAAAGGAGCAATCTCCCCCAGGTTTGACGGAGGTCATGGCTATTGAAGAGGAGCTCAAATGGGCTCAAGAGTTGGGATGGAAGGAAATTATAGTGGAATTTGATGCATTACAAGTAGTGCAAGGAATAACACGGGAGGATGACCTTCACGGCTTCACTCCAACGATATTATTTTTAGAAGTATTAGACATATGATGACAAGTTTTACCAATGTACATGTCAAGTATGTGCCCCAATCAGGAACCAATTGTCCATATTCTAGCTAGGGAAGCCTGTCCTGGGTTTGATGGATTTTGATCGAGTTATCCCCCATTTTGTATCTCTCATGTAACCCTGAATGAGTATTAATGAAGTTATTTGATTCTCAAAAAAAAGAACAAGATAACATGATGTCTCACATGATGTCTCACACACATAGGGAAACACTGTGGCTCATCTCTCATTCTCTTTTTGTAACACCCAGCCCCACATGGCCCGAGGTCATTACTCTTGCATGCCCTCCGGATCAAATATTGTCACAAACTTATGGCCCAAACTTATTACTCGCATCATCTTAGATTCTTAGCAGGTAGATATACGAATTGCCAGTCATGATAAAAACTAGAGAATGATCAGGATTGTTCACAAGTCCATCTATACCTTCAAGCACAGGTGCACAACTATCAAATCCATATTTTGTTCAAGTATCTCGCATATATACATGTCCACAATAGCATAATCGAAGGTTATTAAGGTTTTGCATGAAATTTCCTCCAAAATTTTATACAGCAGGAACTTTTTTCCCATCTTCAATAAAGAAAACTGCAGACTCAGGAACCTGAAAACAGCAGACAGGAAAAAGCTTTAGCACTTATGTATATATAATAAAGGTTCAGATGCTCTCTTACGCAGTCGGATCATCTGATCACTACAAATTATAATTATACAAGGCTCCAATATTAAAATAAATAAATAAATGGTGGTGTCACATTAGTTAGTGGACCCAAACGGGAGCTTCTCTCTGGCTACTTTAAACTACTCTATAAAAATGCACCACATATTAAGATAAGGCAGGAGGCAGAATCAATATATATAGAAATTAAACACTTAAAATTCAAAGGACTTATAATCACAAAAAGGCCTAGCCTTGCTGATACAGACTAATCCCTGTAAGAGTACAACCACTAAATACATGTGGAGCACCTAAAACTATATTCCATCTGTTATAGATACAAAGGCCCAATAGGCTGCTTTGAGTGTATCTTCACCCATAGGGTAGTCACATTTTTGTTTAAGTTGTGAAATGAATTCATGCGCTTCTTTGTATGAAGCAACAATCAGTCGATACAATTCTCGATGCGATTTTCACTATGGGTCATCCAAAAACAGTCTCTATGTGCTTTAGTACAGGGGTAAGACAGCGTACATCCGACCCCCTAACCTCATTGAAGGTGGGAGTCATTGAGGCACTGGGATGATGATGATGATGTGAAATGAATTTATATGGTGGCTATGGTTGCAAATCTGTACACACCATTATGGCACAACTCTTTTGCTGAGAAGCACGTCTAATGAAACTAATTTCCCATGGAATGCAATCAAAAGTGCTCAACACTTTATTCAAGTTATCAATTGATTTTATCTTTAAACCACGTGCTCTTTCAAAGAGATTCCTCACATGAAAATATCAGCTCTCATTATGAAGAGTCTTCATTCAAAAAGCAGTTGTGAGTGGGAACTGAGAAGGATATTGATTAGATAATTCTTAAACCACGATAGGGAGTAAAAATATTGCTAGTCCAAAGATAGACAACACACACAAGATCCATTCATTTAAAAAAAAACAGAAGGATAAAAGAGCATTACATCTGGCCAGGTCTCTGTAATAAAATCCACAATGTCATATGCTATGTCTCCTTGAACATCAATCTGTTCCTTTTCGGTTGGGCCCTATGAAAAATAATCATAAAAGAGATCACAAATATTAAGAAACGGAATTACCAAAATAATCATAAATTGAATGCCAAGATTTCAGTGCACCTTAACTACAGAGGCTCCTGTAGCAAACTTTTTACCAAGCTTTTTTGAGGCATCACTTAGTTTGATGCCTGATATAACATAACCACACTTTAGCAGATGTCCATTACAGATTTCAAAGTGAATGAACTACACTATATTTGACAACATAACATACCAAATAATTCTAGCCCCTTAATGGTGGTGATGCATTTTCTCTTATTACGAGTCATCTTTTCAATCACAACTTCTTGCTTGTCCTGCAATAGACGAGTTATACACCAATCTTAAACTTACTTCATAATTTGGTCAAAGAACTGCCCAACTTATTGTAAAAACATGTTTAACTTTAGTCACTTTCATCGTTATGACATACCAACAAACAATCAAGACCAGCGAGTAGGATGTGTAAAGCTAGAAAATACACCATTCTAGGACTGCAAGTTAATGGGGAACTAACAAATTAATGAATCCAAAGCTTGGTAACAATTGTAGTGCACTACTATAGATTCAATCAAGAAACTTGATTTGCGTAACCAGCAAAATCCAGAAAGATTTTAAAAACGAAGAGGTTAAAGGCCCTGTCATAAAAAGCTCCCTTTCATCATAAAATTCCCTCACATTCGTCTCACATTCCCCAATCTCATTAAAGCCCACTCTGGCAATCCAATGTTTTTTAAACTACTAACCAACTATGAAACTTGAAAGTACAAATATTTATTCAGTCTGATGGAGGGGGGGTCATTACTGTACAATGACGTGTTGCAAAAATGTAAAATGCAAAATTTTGGTTTTAAGTTTTTTTATTTTTGATGGAATATTTTTCAATGAGGGGACTAGTGTATGTTTATGAAATCTTTAGAGGAATTTTTATGCATTTCATCCCAGCAATGTCATGCTTGTGATACTTAATAGCGCATTTTGCTGTGAGAAATTTATTTCATTTTAAATTTAACTATGCAAACGCTAAGAAGCATGCAAACTTGAGAGGAACTAAGGAAACACAAAAAGGTCAACAATACTTATCTTGACATACAAATAAGGTCTAATATTACCATTGATAAAAGATGAATGCTAATATTTTAAGGAACGAATCAGAAACAGTACTTACTTTCTTTTTTATCTTTCCACCTGGAAGGCGTTTCACTTCTTCCTGCTTAGGAGCTGAAGAACCTGCTCCAGCTAATAAAAAAAACATTAACAGAAGTATAGGAATATAAAATTGATTTGTTGAATACTAAGTTTTTTGTATAGCAACAATAAACCTAGAGTGCCCACTGTTTGAAAAGTAGTAAATATCCTAATAAGAATTACTTCCACTTTTGGTCCTACGAGTATTATGTTAATCCCACATTTGGTACACACCTTTCAACTTGTCCACTTTTGATCTATAACTATTGTTTCTTGCTTATATGTGGTCTTTTTGGTTGAATTTCAGACACATCTGAAATGAGGATTTTAAATGCAGGAAGTATGGATGAAAGGACCACAGCTGGGAAAAACTACAATCATGTACCAGAAATGGATAAAGTCAAAGGTGTGGACAAAATATGGAATCAACAAAATATTTAAGGGACCAAGAGTGGAATCAATTCTCCTGATAAAGCACAACTTACAACAAGTGCACAGTATAATAATGAAAATTAATTGCATGCCACCTTGGATTTAATTTAAGGTAGTATGTATGAGAAAGCAAAACGAAGAATTTCACTTTTTATTAAGCCACTACAATTATTAAACACCATAGGTACACGAGAAAAGGAAATAAATTTACCATCGGAGATTGAAGTTGCTTGAAACTGATCAGCTACTTTATCTGCTTCTTTTCCATCAGCTCCTGAAATAAAAAAATAAGAGCCGATTCGGCAACACTGAGAGCCCGTTTGGCAACCTCTATTTTCAACTTATCCGCCAACTTTTTTATTAAACACATAATTTTTCATTTCACGATCTGAAGTGTGAACTGTGTCATAATTAATAGGAGTATAAGGGAGTCATTTTCATTTCATTTTCTAATTTTGCAAAAAATTAGAAAGTGTATTTTCATCTTTTGACTTAAAAGAGCTGAAATCACTTTTCAAGTGACAACTTCTACTTAAATTAAACACTTAAAAGTTAAAAGTTGGATGCAGGTGGAGGGGTACTTTAAACTACTTTTCGCTTTTCTATAACTAATAAAAAACATTTTTCTTATCAAACACTACCAACTTTTACTTTTTCAAAATCACTTCTTTCTTAAACACCACCCTTTCATAATTTATCATTTTTTATAAAATCACTTAAAAAGTCATTTCTTAGAAGTAGAAGCAATCACAAGCACTCCCTATGTAAGGTTGTAGTTAAGTGTGAGATTTTAGAAAGGGAACCGAAGAACTGTTTGGAACCGAACCGTTGTAACCCGATTTCGTTCCTACACACAAGTTTTAACTTTTTAATGGTTCAATTCCTGGTTGCTACAAAAAATATGTTCATAGTTGTCATGAAGGTTGAGCGAGGTGAGGCGTGGTGCTAACAAATCGCCTTATTGCCTAGGCGAATAGGCTCCCGCCTAGGCAACAACGAGGCAAATGGTTGCACCATATGTACTACCTCCGTCCCAAATTGAGTTGCAAAGTTGAATTTTTTTAGTCAAACAGATTCATTTTATTCCCTTAACTAGGATATCAATCCTTAATTAATTTTAATTTGGATTTTGCAACTTTATAGGGGTTTTAATATAATTTCTAAATATGTAAATATTAATTATTAAAATTGAATTAATTATCAATAGGGTGGATTTAACTTTAAAATTGGTTGACCAAAAATTGTTGAATTTGCAAAACAATTTGGGACAAAGGTATCAATAATTATAGTATATACTCCATCCGTTTCAAATTGATTTGCAAAGTCAAATTTTCTTGGTTAAGACAATTTTACTTTATTCAATTATTTAGCAGTGTTGTCAATCCCGGATAGCGGAGCGTAGCGGCGAGCCCTAAAAACGCTATAGCGGTATAGCGGATAGCGGGATGACCGCTATTTAGACTACTTTCAATATAATAGATAAGTAACTACGGGAAGCATATACTCCATATAATACATTACATACACATTTTGAATTCAAAAAGTATGATATATGCCAATGAAGGTTGAAAACATCACATTCATAAATCCTAAATTACTTTAAAATACTCTTTAGTTTCATGAGCAAAACACAAGATGCTATTAAAAATTAAAACATTTTAAGTCAAAACATTGAGTCAAAAGCAAGTATCTAGTGTAAGAGTTTAAGCCTTGATAAATTAAAAGTCAAAAAAGAGAGTAGCCTGACTAGACTCCATATGAGAAGAAGAAGAAAAGAAGACCACAGGTCTGCAGCAAAGGTTGGGGAAGAAGATGTTGCAGCAGAAGGTAGTACTACTGAAGGCAGAGGAAAGCAGCATGTGTCATTCTTGGAGAAGAAGCCATCGCAGAGCAGCAGAAATAGATGATCGTCGTTCTTGGAGAAGAAGTCATCGCAGAGGTTCTGAATATTTCCAAAGCTGGCTTCGTTTTGAGCTTTTAGAAGCCTTTAACGTACGTATAAGGTTTTAAGTAGGTTAATATTTTGTTTTAAAAGTCTAATTTACCCCTTCTATGTCTGCCCTAAAAAATTAAATGCTAAAAACCATCCCAGAGTGCGCAATAACCTCTTTAATATAAAACGCGCCGCTTTAGCGGCCGCAAAAGGCTTCTCCGCACCACTGCGATAGCGGGCGCTATGGCCGCTACACCCAAACGCCACGCTAGAGCCCTCCATGTAGCGGCTTCCATGTCTGCCGCACCGCTATTCCGCTATAGCGCGCTATAGCGCCGCTATTGACATCACTGTTATTTAGTATATCATTTTTTATTTTATTGTAATTTGGATTTTGGAGCTTTATATAAATTTCAAAAGTAGTTTCAAATTATGTAAATTTTAATTATTAAAATTGATTTTACTAGCACAATGATGATTTAACTTTTTCTTATATGTGTAAATTCCATATATTTTTATGTTTTAGAGGGATTTGAACTAGAAGTCTTATTTTTGCTACTATGATGATCCAACCTTCAATGCTATCAAATAACTACTCCCTCCGTCCCGTTGGAATGTTCACGCTTTCCTTTTTGAATGTTCCGTTGGAAAGTTCTCATTTCCCTAAATGGAAAGTTATCCTACATCAAAACAGGGTCAAACAGTGCAAAACAGTGTCAAACAGTGTCGAAACAGTGCCAAACAGTGTCGAAATAGTGTCAAAACAGTAAAATTTACCCCCTTGTAAGTTTATTTCCTTAATATGTGTGTAGGTCAAACCGGGAACATTCCAACGGGACGGAGGGAGTACTATTTTCATATTTTACATATAAACGAAAACTGAACTATTCTTAAAAAAGGATGACACCACATCCTTGAGGACGTCTCAGAACCGGCTGGTCAGTTATTCGGGAGGATGTAAATTGAGCTTTGATCACACACTAATGAAAAGACAGTAGAGTTCCAGCAAAAATCTTTGTTTCAAGTCAAACCCAGGACATCTCCCTTGTGTCAACCCTTCCCGCCAAGTGAGCTACGCCCCGAGAAAAATTGAAATATTCTTTATTCTATTAGGTGTTTCCTTAATTAAGTTTGGACTTTGTTATTTGAAGTGATTTGAACTTTGGAAACGCTTTTATTCCTTGTCTTTTGAATTTTGACGTTTTTATGTAATCAAAATTAAATTACCTCCTCAGTCACTTGTAACTCTGCAAACTTTCATTTTTTTAGGTGTCCTACTAATTTTACCCATTTACATTATTATCTTGACAATTTTGACAAAGTTATAAGGAAAGGAGGGAGTATATGTTAACTTCGGGATGAGAAGAAATTTATTTATTGGAACCGATACAAGAAAAAACCAAACCGAACCATTTAGTTTTTGTTTGGTTCCATAATAGTTCTTGAGTTTTTATGTACGAACCAATCCAATTTTACTAGTTAAATTCTTTTATAACTATTCCTCTAATGTTGTTTGAGAACCGGTTTTACTTGTTATAAGACCTGTTTGGAGTGACCGTAGACAACCATTTTGGCTATTTTTTGTATAACTTTTTAACCATTATGGCACGACATTGAATCTACAGAATTATAAAAAAGTAGGTACAATATATATTTTATTGGTAAAGTAAATAAAAAATCAGGCAAAGAAAACAAACATAGGCCTCTTTAAAATTAAGATGATATATGTTACCATATACAGTCCAAACAAGTTTGTACCTCTAAGAAGATCTGGGTAGACATAGGGTGCGTTCTGGATCAACCACGGTTTGCATTTCTCAAAGTCGGTTCCGCCGAACTCACAATACTCGGGGGGTAAACCGCAAACTCCACAATACAAAACCTGAACAGATTGAGGCTTCTCCGCCATCACAGCACTTCACTGAACCCCGTCTGTCCCTCTTCTGCCGGAAAAAGATGTTTTTTATGTGCAGTTTATATATGTACCACCGCCATAGGGATAATAAAAAGGGGAAGTTACTACATGAAACTTAAATTGCAGGAGTATAATTTTTAAATTCCCTAAATAGGAGTAGTTTTCGAATCCTGCCCTTTTTTTTGTTTAATACAATTCATATCTCTACATATATAAAAGCTGGAAAACAGGTTTTCACAGTTAATCTGCAGAATTTGGCTCTTATCTGTAAGAAGGCAACAATGCCAGCGTATTGGTTGTTCATTAAGTTACAGCTTATAACAAATCCTTAATTAATAAAATTAACCATCGTTTAACTGAAAGGACGTATAAAGAACGAGCCTCAACAACACCCTTGATGTATTCATCACTGCTGATAAGATATAAAAAGATATGTAACAACAAACAAACAAACAAACAAACAAGATGCGATAAAATAAGAGAAAGATAGTAATAATCGACTAACCTCAGTGTATTAGATGAACCGCGTGGTGTAGACTGCGTCCGGTGTAAGGGGAAGAGGGGATGGAAACGGAGAGAGCAATGCAGCGTACGACCGTCTGGCTGAGAGATGAGCGCAGACAGAGATTGGCGGAAATGGGCTTAGGTTATTCGAGATCTTGGCACGTGAATTTCTAATTGGATCGGATCAAACACTTTCGCCAATAACTTTAAATCATTTAATTAATTTGACAAATTTTAAATCATATTTTTTTAATACCCATTTTGCCAGTTAAATTGGTTGAATATATTAAAACTGATAAAATTTTAGTGGAATTAACCGACTTCACTAATTAGATGATTTGCTCAAATATTATATTTGAAATATTTTTCAATGATAAATAATGAAAAATCTAATGAAAAATAGCTACAATGATCTTTTACGGCAACTTCAATCAATTCAATCATAAAAGTAATTTAAAATTCACTTATGTTGATTATTATATAATTCAGCGTGCAAAATAAAAAAATATGTATTTGATAAATAAAAACGACTTAATAAAATTTCAAAACTAATATGTTTTAAAACTCATAAATTCATCTAAAATTTAAACTACGTGTAAAATTCACTCACATCAACAAAGCATTCAAATATTTAAGTAAATCTTACAAATTATTTTAGCCACAAATTGTATCATAGGTTTTCATTTATTTGAATTGAAAAAAATCTCTAATTAAGTTTCGATGTATTTTAGAAAATTTGGAACATGTAAAAGCAAATTGTGCAAGGTGGGAAAAACATTTAACATTCATCTACCATTTGCGCAATTGGAGATGAATATTGATCAATAAGGTGTTGTATATTTTTCCATTGCTACTAATAGTGGTATAAAGCTTATGTGATGTGGATTGAAATTATTTGTATTGTTAATCGACACAAAGACCACATTCAATTTTAAAAATGTTTGTAAACTTAAAAACACACCTTTGAGACGCTACAACTCTTAGGGGTTGTTTACTTTTTTTCCATCAAGTCCCGAATGGATTAAGAGGTCTGTCTGAATTAAGATGTCTGTCTGGATTAAGTGACACTAAGATAACAAGTTGTTTACTATGTGTGTTGAATGAAAAGTTTGAATTATGTTAAATGACCAAATAACCCTCATGTCTATAACAAGTGTTGAATGTATATTATCTGTTTACATTGCTTGTTCTCAAATATAAGTTCATATGCCTAATAAAAGAGGCACATTATTTGATAAGAAAAAGTCAAGAATTCTACAACAACATTTAAAAATAAATAGTACTCCGTATATTGTTGAAGTTTATTCCGTCAACCCAAAGATCCAACACGTACCTTTGAATCTCGAGTGGAAGATGTGGTGAATTGGGTGATTAAACAATCAAGAGATGGGTCAAATAATTGTAGGAAGTAGGGTGTATCTTATTAGATGATAATAAGAAACCGTTACAGTAAACTTCACTACAAAGTCCCGATGTCGTTCGTCCAATGTTGTGCTAAGAGTTGTTTACAATTAATGTATGCTAAGAGTGCTAAGTTGTCAACCCCTTATAATGAAATAAATGCTGCTATTTATTCTACCAAGGGGTAGGTAGTGCTGCTGACGTGGAGGATTGTGGATGGCTAACTCCCAACCACCAAATCTACTTCATTTAATGTTGTTCCCGCCAGTATCTTGTTTTCCCGCCATAACCTCGGCCGAGTGTTCTGATGGGCCAAGTCGGGGGATCCTTGATGGGTCAAGGATGAACCTCCGTTCGTATTCGCCGTGGGCGGACGAGCGTCCGCTCTACGGCTAGCTTGGGTCCTGTGGTGTAAAAAGGGGTGGATCCGCACGGCCCATACTAACCCATTTGGCAAAGGGCCCTATAACGCTATCTGGCTTGTGTTATGCAAAAGGCCTCTGAAGCTGATCGTCTACCAATTTGGGTAGAGATGACCTCAAGGTCCTAAGGGTAATGGGCTGATTTGTAATGGACTCATTAACCCAACATATATCAATATGCCAAGAAGAACATATCACAAACTGTAATTTTATAGGGAGTGATATATTGCTTTTATTTACCCTAGCAAGGTTGCATTTTATATATAATGATCAATTACAAGGAAGCACAACTTATAAAACATAAAAAACCAGGCTTATAGCTAAAAATCATAAAATAAACATTCAAAACAAGGCTCGTATAGAAGTATTTAATGGAAACAAAATCAATGATTGAACGGGCATAACTCATAACAATACACCTTGCAGGTAGTCATTATCTTCCTCTAATTCAAGTGCATCAAAGTGTAGATGAAAAGGAAAAAACGAAAAGAACCCTCCACAGGAAGTGCTATGGTTAATGACAGAAGCAATAAAAAATTACACAACCAATGATTAAAATACATTTCACCTAAATATATATGAGTGTAATCAAGAAATCCGAAATCTCAACTTAAATCAGCTGAAAAAAATTTGAAAGTAGCCACAACAAAGCATTCGAATGAGAACTTTAACCCTTCATCAGATGAAAATGTTGGGGGTCCAAGAGGTGCTCAAGTGCTTAAAGCACTTGAGACCCGACCATCACCAAACAAGCTTCCCACTTGCAACAATCATTTACACATATCACCAATACCATATCAGCATGCCCCATTTTGCATTTACTTCCAGTAACTCCAAATTCGCAAGTAGGAAACCCACTTGATAGCTTTTGAGTCAGATGCCGTATTTTGAATTTTTATGGGTTTGGTACTTTTGCATTGTTCATTTGTATGTTAGCAAAACTGGTAATCAATTCTCTGATTTTTTTATAGCATCACTGTTCTTCTAACTTTTTTTGTCGTAGAAAAAAACAACCAGCTTACAGGCAAAATCGAAACTTCACTTGTAGACGACTCTGTCCGTCAAAAATAAAACTTCGTCCGTTAAAAAGAATTAAAAAACCTTAAATGAATATAGAATCACAAGAATTACATGTTGGGTGTGTTTCGAAAAACAAAGAAAATTAATTAATAAAGATTAATTAAATAAAATGACTTAAAGAAAAATAAGAAATGAGATGAAGCAGAATAAGCCAAAGCTTGTGCTACGCACGATTTCCTTAAAACGTATTCGTTGTCTCCCGGGGTGCTAGGAGCGTTGCAACGATTGTTTCTCAGGATACGATGACTTCGAACAATAGTTTAGCACTCAAACTAAAGTTCCAACGAACGTGAACAAAAGCAGAACACCGAAGGAGTTTGTATGGAGTGCTAGAGGTGCTGTTTTAGCTAAGAAAATACGTGAACGAAGTGTATGAAAGGTGTGTCTTTGCAAAGCACCTACTAGCCTTTTATAGGGGTGGATTAAGGTGTGTTAATGGTTGTTTAAGGGTTATGATCGTTGGACATCAATGTCCTAAACGTTGTGCATTGATTCCAGTCCTTAAACAACCCAAAACGTTCATATGAACGTTGGGACATCAATGGCAGCATATAGACGTTGGGCATTTATGTGCATGGAGCAAAAATTAAAGTAGGAACGTACCGGAAGAACAAAAATTAACGTTATCTGTAGAAGATAGATTTTCGGACGGCATTCGTGTGTGCAGGTCGCCCGCACACGCAAGTCGCGGTTTTTGTTCTTCGGTTTCGGGATTTGATTCGAACCCCCCCCGCGCGCGTGGGAGAGCCTTTCTCTTTAGGAATCTTAACTCCTTAGGGGGGGTCCCTTTATAAAGGGTTCAAATCCCCTTGTGATTTTCGGTGTGGGAAAGAACCCACACTAAAACCCACATTTTCCTAGTTTTCTCCATTCCAACGGGTAAACTTCGAAAAACAATTTCTCATTCACCCGTTATCCGTTTTGAGTGTACCATATATCGAATTGTAGCCCTTAGCAAGGACAATCCGAAATCACTTTGACCCGACCCAAATCGGAAGTGGACCCCACTCAAATAATTGCCCCAAAATGACCATTTAATACACTTTTAACACACTTTTTTCAACATTACCATGATGAAGAAGGTAGGGGAAGAGAGATGTTTCTTCTCTTCTTTGGCGATAGGTCGCAGGTAGAATCACGAGCTTTGATAATGTCTGGGATGATATTTGAGATGAAGCAAAGAAATACCCAGAGACGAAGAAGCGATGAAATATGTGAGAGGTTGATCCAAGGTTAAAACTGAGATGCTCCTATGCCGAGATGTCTGAAGCGGAAAGAGTATTAAAATTGGACTGAATAAGTCAAAAATGGTCTGACCGAATAAGTCACTCTATAAATTAAGTGACAAGTAAACACATATAGTTGAGCGAATAAGACCTAATTTCCATTCAGCCCATTAAGTTCTAAGTAAACGGGACCTTAGAAATATTATGAATGGTGGTCTCAACTATTGGGATCAATTTTCAAAAATAGTCTATAACCTGTTACAACCTGGTACAATAGGTCATTTTTAAATATGAACTATATGTAAGCTTTAAATAATCTCAACTATAGTTGTTCTATTTTTATTAGTCTTAATTATCAACTCTCAATTTCCGGAAGATATAGAAATATTTTTATAAATTTCCAAATTAAATATTTTTAAGCATGAAAAATTAATTACGAAAATTTTACAAATGTACCGAAATTAAATAAAAAAAATAGTCATTTTTGTTTATTTTCACTAAAAATTCTTTTTTATTTTGTTTTTTCAATTTTTTTACAGTTGTGTTACCAATTTATGAATTCGTTTTATTTTCCTTTATTCAAATTTACATTTTCTATTTTCAAAAAGTAATTTGTGATTAAAAATTTTTACATTTTAGATCTTTATTCTAGCTTAATCTAAAAATCTAAATTTTCTATTTGTTTCATTTTAGTATTTTTAATTTCTACTAATGTAAAAATGTAATAGCTTGAAACATAATGTCGGTAGAAAAATGTTTACCAAAAGTCCAAACTTTTTCTACCAAAGTAGTTGGGATCATTATTACTATTGTGATACACTTTTTCTACATTTTTACAATTTCAATTATATCACTTAAAAATATAATATTAATACATTTTCATTAAAATAGTCAAAACCTCCAAATCCTATACCCCAAATCACTAAAATTAAACGATAAACTAAAATGGAAAGAAATTAGAAATACTAAAATAGAAAAATATAAAATCTAGATTTTTAGAACCAAGATAACATTAAAACAATTAAAATCATTATTTACTTTTTTATAACAGAAAATGTAAATTTGAATAAAGAAGAATAATATAAAATTATAAATTGGTAACACAACTGAGAAAAACAAATTGGAAAAAGGAAAAAATAAAATTTTAGTGAAAATAAACACAAAAAATGAGTAAAAATATTTTATTTAACTGTATAATTTTCGTAGTTATTTATGCATGTTTAAAGAGGAAAACTGTCAAATAAACCTCCCTACTATTATTGAAAAGTCAATTAGACCCCTCAACTCAATTATCATCCAATTAGACCCATGAAGACACTACCACATTTTAGGGTCTAAGGTAATGATAAAATTGTAACAGTTGTTTAAAATGTTACAAAAAACTAGTATATTTTAACAATTTTAAGTGCACTGTTACAATATTTTCACAACCGTTACTTAAGTTTAATCCCAATGTAACGTTTCTATAAATTTATATACATTGTTACATTAGTTTACTTAGGATATTTTCTTTTGCACTGAAATTTGATGGTCTAGTCTGGTTTGATCTGGTCTGGTCCGAAGTGGTCTGGTTTGATCTGATAATTGTCTGGACTCTGTGTATTTCATAACTACAGAAGTCCGGTCTGATCTGATCTGGGGACTGAAAACCGTCCAAACTCCAAAAGAAAACAGGTCTTGCACTTCAAATTAAATTTTGTGGCATCTAATGTAATACTTTTATACGTACACTAGTTTAATAACGCGCGTTCGTGGTAATGCCCAAGGCCAATGTAGGGACAACAATATCTTAATTAAGGTTTAGTGAAAATATGATTAATATGAATACAACATTTGAATACATAATTTGTTATTTATCGATAAAGAATCATAAACAATTAAGCATTTATAGGCTAGAATATATGTGGGAAAATAAAGCAGTCAAGATGATTATAAGAACCATAATAGGAGTGAGATTCACATGAAACAGTAGCATGTATTTGTGTTGTTATATGAAAACACACATAATAAACACAAAAATGTTTTGGTCGAAGAAATAGTCAAATATTTTTTGAGTTGTAGCGCTTGAAGAAAATTAAAGCAAAAATTCTAGGAAAACTGTTTTTTTTTAAAAACCCGGAGGCAAACCACCAAAATCAGTGGGGCAAATGCCGGGGAACATTTGGCATGTTTTATTGATAATCAAAAGAATACAGAGAAGAGGGGGACCAAACCAAAACCTCTTCAAGGAGGGCATACCCTCTCAGAAATACAACGAAGGAAAAAAGAAGTAAAAAATTCGGGGGGGCTAGACCTGACCCAAAGAAAAATACACGTAAAACACAAATCAAAATCACAGCCTAATAGAGGGAATACCGAACTTGTCCATAATATAAGCTCTCCGGATTGGATCTGGCAGATCTGCAATAACATTAAAAATGTTCAGTTGGGCTAGTTTATCCGCCAGCCCGTTCGCTTCTCGCCAAGTATGCCTGAAAGTAACCCCTTTCCTATTCGCATCCAGCAACATTTCCTGAATGGGAACCCTCCATCTCCCACGGTAAGGTTCCACTAAATGACCCAGAGCAGCCATAGAGTCGGTTTCCACCTGGAAGGAGGAGAAACCAGCGTCCATCGCCCACCTCGTAGCAAGAATCACCGCCCTAATTTCAGCCTCAAGCACGAAATTTGCCTGAAGAGGAAAAGACATTGCGAAGATGAAGAGCCCTTCTTTGTTTCTCATCATCACACCACCGAAGGCACCTTGAGGTGAGTATGAAGCATCTGTGTTTAATTTCAGAGTATGAGGTTTTTGCCATTTGATGAATCTAGGGATTGTGCCCGTTAGTCGAAAGTCAAGAGGAATCAACTTCTCTTCTATTAAAATGTTCCCAATCACCCGTAGCTTAATCCTACTGAAGCTATAAGCCCAGTTCTGGGTAAAACTTTTAATTTGAGCTATAAGAGTACCAGATGTAGGAACCCTATTTTCAGAACCCCATAGCAAGCCAGAGTAAGCTTTCCAGAGATGCCAACATATAATACCTGGTAAATTATGTTTGAACAAGTCTAAGACAGATTTGCTCCCAGCTTGTAGCCACCAGTTTATAAACAATTGCCTCAGGTTATTATCAAAGCTCAAATTAGGAATACCACAAATTTTCATGAAATAAATCCAAATTGGCTGAGCCACTTTGCATTTAAAAAGTAAGTGGTTCATAGAGTCGGCCTGGGCTCTACACATAGGGCAAATGGAAGGGTTAAGCACCAATTGAAACCTGTTAAGATTATCAGTAGTAGGCAGGATGTTGTTAAGGATTTTCCACTGAAAAATCTTAATATTCAGTGTTTGTTTAGGATGCCAACAGTGTTTGAAAGAGAAAGTGGAGCCCTTTTCAGTTCTGACCAGTTGGAAAGCACTCTGAAATGAAAACATGCCATCCTCTTCAGCAGACCACTGTAAGTCACCATGTTGATCAGTTTCACAATAATAAATAGCCTCAGAATTAATGTAGCAAATCCTCCTCCAAATAGGGGAGTCATAGACCATAGGAATCATATTATCACCCCTAGGATATTTAGCACTAAAAAAATCTGACCAAAGTTAACTTCAACAAAATACACCTTTTTTATTGATTATCAATATTTAATTTTCATCTTATTTAAAAATATTAACTGAACCAGACTCATGTACACCATTAAAGTTTAAAAAAATAATCACTACCCATATGATTAAGCAAAGAAGATAAAGTTAATAATGCTATTAATTTATTTTTGAAGGGAAGACTTTTGAAAAATTTAACTAAAATAGCAGACAAGCTACAAACAAATACAATGGAATGTGGAAAGTTATCTTACCTCCAGATGAAACACGCTGAGCTCAAACTGCAAACAATCTCTCAAGCCTAAAAAGATTATAAAAATTACATAGAAGGTGAAATTAGTCTCTGAAAGATAGAACACTAAAAAACGATGCTAAAAGAGTGTCTAATGAAATTGCATGTATCAGTTATGCCAAGCCATTGTCTTTTAATCATTTGACATATGCTAATTCAGAATAGTTGAGAACAATAAATTCAGTAATTTGAAGAATCTAAAAAATGAGAAATAAGGTAAAACGCTACGACAAAATACCAATAGGAACTTAAGTGTGCAAGCATGTGAAATCACAACAGAGGCCACGAACTATTCACATTCAGTAAGATTGAAAAGAAAGTTTGATTTAGCAATATGCACACACCTCTAAAGCAGTTTTCTACAAGGCACTATGTGGGTGTGTTTAATTTTTACGATTGTCCAGGTAGGCTCAGGCATGTATAGATGCAAGTAAGAAGGGAATCCCATAAAATGTAGGAGAACATATAGCAAATTTAGTAGTACAAAGATATAGAGCGAGAGAGAACATCGTACATTTGTAAAAAGATTTAATTTGGCTCTAATCTATTTTGCAACAGGAACAAAAGCAATTTCAAAGTCGTAAGAAGTATGGTTAAGTAGTGAAATTATATACCTAAAAGACATAAGAAGATGTTATAAGAGAGTTTCGAAGTCTATGGTAGCCTGGTTCATACTAAACCATAAAACTTAATAGTTTACTAAAAACATGATTTGATGAACTGATTTATCGTAATATATGGAAAAAGCATAAAATAAGTTTATTGCGACGGAGTAAATGGATGGAATGAACTGAAAGGGACTCTCTATGAGTATGGTACAATAGTTTTTTTTTTTGGTAAAAAAGTATGGTACAATAGTTAACAATGAAAGGGAGATCCATTCAACCAGTTTACTTATAATGCTCATAGTGGTGACCTTTTCTCCCGGCAGTGCAGGAAAAAACATTCTTCCCAAAAAGTTAAACCATTCTACTTATAGTAAAACACCAATACAAACACTGTATGGTGATTGGGTGACTGGCCAATCCTCTCACATGCCAAGTGACTAAGGCATATGTATATAGGAAATAGGGGGAACAATTGGAACTAAAACATACCCTCTAACTGTCACAACTTGCACTTCACAGGAATGGAAGGTGTCAAATTGCAATGGAAGGTGTCAAATTGCAGGTGCCTGTTGAATGACATCTTTAAGCCTTTTTAAGTATATTTATGTGACTTTTCTCTAGTATATTATCATGGAGAGCTTGTGGCCATGGGCAGAGGTAGGGGGTCATGCTAGGCCCCGGCCGACCCCAATTTCTAAAATTCTTTAAATATTTTTGTAAAACATTTGTGCTAAAAATTTCCCAAACAAATTGTTGTACCGGCCTAGACGGGTTTGCACCACTGTCCTAGCCGGGTTTGCACCCGCGGCTACAACACTATTTACGGTACCACCTAACTGAACAAAGTAGATGCTGCTATCGAAGATTTTGAAGATTAAAGATTAGAGATTTACCTTCCATGAAGCTTTAAAAGGTTTGACATACAATTAAAAATACAAATAGTGAGTTTTTTACAAAGGTGTTTCTAAATCTCTTAAATGTACATTACTATTAACTCGACATATGCTTTCCATAGAACCAGCTTACCCAACAATCAGAAACACAAAAAACTCTATCCTAAACAAATTACAAACAACTTGTGTGCTTCATAATAGTGGAATATCTCTTGGTTTTAGGGAGTGGATTTCTACTTTTAATAGCAATTCTAGTTGAACGGGTATAACTTTTCTCTTCTTTGTTTTTAGTTATATATTCTACTCTTTTTGCAGTGTTATTGGCTAATGAACCAGTTGACTTGCTCCTTTTGTCAGCAGGTAAGTTTCTTCTCTGATCAGTGCATGATGTATTGAATTTAAATCCACATTAATTTCTGCTATTCTTCTTCCCTTTACTCTGAAGGACTTGGATTTGATAAAGCTGGAAGGCGTTTAGGCCGGGGTGAGGGGTAAGTTTTAGATTGCTTGTATGTGCATATATACTTCAGCAAACAACATAGAGCCGCTATTGGTTTGAGCTAGACATCATCTATTTTAGTATCATAAACTTCTCTGTTAGTAATTTAGTATTCATCGGGCCCTTTGGGCCTCTGGGAATATGTTAAAAAGTAGTTCACTTCTGATGAAAAAAGTAAAGGAATGTTGACTGAAATATACTTATAGAAATAGTTTAACTATTTTAAGTATTTCAAGAAAACTTGGTTAATAATCTCAAAAACTATCTTTCTTCACTTCATTCTCTCACCCCCACAATCCGATATTTTATTGAAAAAGCCCGATACTTTCTTGGAAAAGTTAAAGTATCTAAAAGACTAAAACAATACACAAAAGTATGAATAGATACACTTATAGGCGGAAAGCAATTGTACCTCCTCGTAGATGGGACAAATGGGGCTTGAAATAGCCAATGACTGGGATGAGCTTGAATAATAGAAAATTAAAAAATGCTCTACGTAGGAGTACAACCTAGACAAAGGTTTTATGAAAAATAAGAGTGACTATGTTTTATTCCCAAAATAGAAGTTATTTGGTTTCATTAATAAAAAATTCAAAATTTCTTCAGTAAGAAGTGAGTGAGTCATAGGAAGAAAACAATGACATTCTTAATGTTTGTGTTTGCTAAAGAGGCTGCTAATGATATCTAAAGAAGTGGTTAAAAAGTGCTTTTTCTAAAGCAGGACTTATATCATGATTTGGGAGAAGGGCATTTGAGAGTAAAATATTGATTGCTGAAAGTGGATAATGTCTTCTAGCTGGAGTGATCTAGAAGAAGACATTACTGGTGTATATAATCTTAGGGATTCTATGGATGTAGTTGCTTTTCTTTGGAGTGATCTACAAGAAGAGGATAAAGGCTTCTATTTGGAAGGTACAACATCATTTTCTTACATTAACAACCAGCATGTGCATTTAACTCCTTTTTAATTTTGAGGTTTCAACAAGGTTCTTAGATCATTTGACTTTGCCTTAGTTAACCCATGAATCTGCCTGAAAATTTAAGCCTATTGTGGAAGATAGTGCCTCTACTTTTTCTTCTCCCCCATCTGTTTTCCAATTGATATTCTTCTGTTGAAGGATGTTATCTACATTAGCACAATCCTACAAGAGCATCTCTTTGATTATCAAATAAATACTTGTGGTAACAGACTTGAAAAGACGGTAACTCATGAAATATTCTTGTCATTTTTAAAAAAGCCTGCCAAACATATATGTTGAATGTTTTCCCGTGTTTTAAACTCCAAGAAAAGTATATAACATGTGTCGTTGAGAATACAGCTTACCAAACATAAACTTTAAGGGAGTTTCAATCATTACTCTCAGTGGAATGAAACAATATAGAAAAAGAAATAAGTTGTAGTTCTCTAAATGCACCGTACCTAATCATACTTAATTCTTAGCTGCACTTTCCAAAAGACTCCACAAATTAGGTGCATATTTAGTTAATAAGGAGTATATATTAGAACTGCACTGGCTTTTTTTAGGTAAATTCAAACATCACAAATTAACATTACTAAGCATGTTTTTTCCTTTCCTTAGAATTATCCATGATCCATCCCATAAAGAAAAGAATGTGATTAAGCATTTCACTTGCATTATTTATGGACTTTATCTATCTTTTACTCTTATTTAAGCAAATTTCTCACAAATCCTAAATCAAAGGGATCTGCCTATAATGAATTCACAGCATATAGGAGATATTTTCATTTGTAAGCATGCATATGTAGACGGAAGTCACAGAACTAAGGAAGGACTATGTAAATATAAGCAACAGTGAAAGAGTAATCCAAATATAGACTTCAAGCTCCAAATGTTCTTGTTTGAAGCATCGAAAGTAAACTGCGTGAACACAATTTTAAAACAGCTAGATAATTGAAAGCAACTAAAGGTGGAAGACTGAAAACGATACTAACAAAGCATTTAATGAAATCAAGTAAGAAACGGGGTTGGACAAGTTGTTCATTTGGCACTACCACTAATATACTTATTTAACAAGGGATGGAAGAATGAAAATCCGGGTGATATACGAACCTAATATCAGGTCAAATATAATAGAAGATTATATTAAATACAAATTACAACATAATAACAAAGGAAATTTCAGTGAAGCATTTCATCGAGCATGTGGAATGCGAAGTTTGTAAACTATGAGGTCGCTTATTTACGATGTAAATTGATTGAATAGATGAAAAACTTACACGAGTAGAACATGCAAGAATAGGAAAATCCGCTGAACAGCCGGGAAAGATTACTTATAATCGACAACCTGACCTTTTGAGTAAGTAAACGGATGTTCTGGAGCCATAACTGAGGGTAGAATGAGGAGCGGCTGAAACGGGGGAGAGGGCGTGAGGTCTTTTGAAATTGGAGATTTACATTTCTAGATAAACTTTCTGACTTCAAGCTTCCATCAAGTTTCATGAGACAGAGTTCCGCCAATTTCAAAAGACGCAGCTATTGCGAGAAAAGACGCGCCGACTTCAAGAATGCAGTTTGTGCGCGTTTTTTTAATTAATAGAACGAAGTCGTATTCATGCGGGTGTAGCATACTCATACTGGACCGGTCCTATGTTATAAGGACTGTAAGTGTCAGTTCCTTTATTTTCCTTTTTCTTTTTTCCCCATTCTCTTTCCCTTTCTTTATTCCTTCTACTTCGTTTCTTCATTCTCCCCCTCCATCCCTGCTAGGCTGCTCAGGACACCCCCTCCCTATTCCTCCTTTCTTCGTACGTTTAGGATATACACACACATATACATCGATCGACCCACAAAAAAAGATACACAAATAATACATACACATACAAACTATTCAACAACAACAAAACTAATTAGCTCCAGTGCTCCAATTTCTTCTTGCCTAAGCAAATCAAAATCCCAATAAGCATGATTTCTTAGCTTTTAGATCCAATTGTGAATTGAATTAAACTTCGAAACAAAAGAAATAATAGAAGAAGAAGAAAAAAAAAATAACACAAGAGATGGAGTTCGTATACCGTGGGATCATCCCACAGTGAGCACCGTGCTCCACATCCCAAAACGACGTAGTTTTGCACATTTAAAAAAATGCGTGAACAGTAACATGTGAACAGTAACGCGTGAACAGTGACTGTTTTTTGTCCCAGTAACATGAATGATGTAACTCACGTGTAAAATAATGTAACTCATGTTATTGATCGATGTAACTCAAGTCCAATAGAAATGTAACTTGTCAAATACATAGTATAAGAAATAAAACATTGATTTCAATATAAATCATGAAAAAAAGAACACTATTTGCCCAATTATTTTACAAATATTGTATATGCTTTGTTTTTAATATCAAAACTATAAAAATGTTTTTTTATGAAAATAATTTTTCTTTGAATAGCAGGGCTTATTGGGTTATGTAACTCACATTATAGTGTGATGTAACTCGCATTATGGAAAATGTAAATTACATGTAAGCGAGATGTAACTTGATGAAGAAAGTTGACATGTAACTCATGTTAATAGATATGTAACTTTAGGAAAATGTTGGTGTAACTTGAGTATGAGTAAGATGTAAGTTATGGAAGGTCTAAAATAATTCATAGCAGTCATCTTCAACATGTAACGAAGGTGAGTCTTCTTCATTAGAATCTGAACTTCCATGTTCAAAACATTATTACTATTATACATATATACTAAAACAAACATTTAGCTTGAAGTCATTATATATTTGTATTTACCCACATATACTCAGTCAGGGGCGGACCCAGGAAAGTCATTTTGGGGGGCGAAAATATTTTTTTTTGGGGGGGGGGGGGGTTCAAAATACTTTTTGGAAGAGCAAAAATCATTTTTCGTATATATATACACTAGAAAAAAATTTGTTGGGGGGGCGATAGCCCCCCTGGGTCTCTACTACGGTCCGCCCATGTACGCAGTACTCCTGATCCAAAATACGGCACCTGCAATTTCAGAATTAAAAAAGGGATATTTTGAATGGGGCGATTGAATGATAATCTCTTGTATGGGTCTATTTGATGCACAATTCGTATTTGAGAAGCAGGTATGTAAACACAATTCTTTTTTATACAAAGAACTCTTCGAATGACTTCTGGTCCAACATCTGGAGTGTGGCGGAGTTCTGTGGTGAGCTGAAGCAACGAAGGAGACGAAGGGAATCCGCCGATTGCTTTTTTTTAATAGGAAGCATAAAACTGTACCGTTTTGGGATCGGCACACCATGCTCATGGTGGGCCGATCCCACGGTATAATTTGCGCAAGCAGTCCGTATACCATAGGACAGGCCCAATATGAACATGCTACACCTGCATGAATACGACGTCGTTCTTTTAATTAAAAAAAACGTGCACAAACGGCATTCTCGAAGTCGGCGCGTCTTTTCTCGCAATAGTTGTGTCTTTTGAAATTGGCGATTTACATTTCTCGATAAACTTTCCGACTTCACGCTTCCATCAAGTTTCATAAGACAGAGTTCCACCATTCGAAGTGCATTCTGAAGACGAACGTTTTGCAAATCGAGAAAATGACGAGGTCTAAAGGCAAAACAGTTGCAAGGTATTTCATCCGAACGAACTATGTACTTTGCTTTTTGAAGTTCAAAATTTATGTCTGAGCATGTAACAATATGATTCATGTGCTAATTTGCTATAAATTTTAACATGCATGTAAGTCACTCTAAAAAACGAAAGAGATTGAGTATTGAATAGTGTGATTTATGTCTTATTGTGATCTCAATTTGAATAAGCAAAGTGTGAATGCTCATATGTCATTGAGCATAATAAGGAAATTGTCTATGTTAAGATGTAACTACAATTTTTGGTAATATAGTGTTGCATGCCTCAATATGTTTGTTATGCCTTAGTATGTTATTGAATTTTTTTGGTGATATAGTGTTGCATGTCACTGAAACTAATACCAGATTAACTTTATTAACTTTATGTAACATGTGTATAATAATACATAAATCCTCTGCCTTGGTCTGTGACTGTAACTAAGTCCACATTACATTGTTCATCTGATTGTGAATGATGTAACTTCTTTTCACTGTTATGTAAATTGTGTGTGACAAGATGTAACTCATGTGATCCACATCACATTGTTCATCTGATTGTGAATGATGTAACTTCTTTTCACTGTTATGTAAATTGTGTGTAACAAGATGTAACTCATGTGCTCCATATTACATTGTTCATCTGATTGTGAATGATGTAACTTCTTTTCACTGTTATGTAAATTGTGTGTGACAAGATGTAACTCATGTGCTCCACATCACATTGTTCATCTGATTGTGAATTATGTAACTTCTTTTCACTGTTATGTAAATTGTGTGTGACAAGATGTAACTCATGTGCTCCACATCACATTGTTCATCTGATTGTGAATGATGTAACTTCTTTTCACTGTTATGTAAATTGTGCGTGACAAGATGTAACTCATGTGCTCCACATCACATTGTTCATCTGATTGTGAATGATGTAACTTCTTTTCACTGTTATCTAAATTGTGAATGACAAGATGTAACTCATGTGCTCCACATCACATTGTTCATCTGATTGTCAATGATGTAACTTCATTTCACTATTATGTCAATTGTGTGTGACAAAATGTAACTCATGTGGAATATAAGGAGAACAAGAAGTGTTGTAGCTCCTGAAAATGAAACTCAGCATACAGAACATCAGAATGAAGCTGCAAGGATAGTGAACACAGAAGAACCGATTCTAAGGCTAGAATATCATCAGCCAACAACAAGCAAAAAAAGAAAAGCAGCCCCAAAAAAGAAGAAAGCAGAATCTGAAGAATTAGACGATGAATGTGAAGAAGTAGAGACAAGCAACAGGCCGCCTTCTGTAAACCTCAGAACAAGAGTAGGACCAGCCCCTTTCATAAAGTTGATTAAACAATTAGATGAAAGAAAAAAAGCAGCAGTTGAAAGGATTGGATTTGGGGGATTACTGCATTTAAACTTTGACAGATTCTATGGAGATTTGGTTGCGTTTCTGTTGAAGAACTTTAGACCAATTTCAGGACAGCTACAACTTGCCAATGGTGAGCTGCTAGATATTGAAGATGAAGATGTCAAAGCTGTATTTGGTCTGCCAAGGGGAAAGATAGAAGTTCAAGAAGCGAATGCGAAGAATGAAACTGGAGAGTATACCCAACTGCTTCAAGAATGGAGAGAAGAATGGGGGATTGATAAAGGAAGCCCTCAAACATAAAAAATGATTGAAAAAATAGTTGCAGATACTGATTTTGGAGACAGATTCATCAGAAACATTGTGGTCTTTACAGTCTGTAAGGAATAAATGTATTTAGATTTTGATGATGCTAGGTTAATTAGAATTTGAAAGTACCCCATTAGAAATTATGTATTAGAATTTCTTTTGTAAGTTTTAGCTTAGTCTGCCTGCCAGAGTCCCATCTTGCCTCTACCAGAGTTGCTCCCAGAGTTGCTCACCAGAGAAGCCATCAGAAACTGGTTATCAGAAAGATACCAGAGTTGGCACCAGAGACGGACTTCAGAGACTGGACCAGAGAACCTCTTGAGACTCTGCTAAGTATCATCAGGATCCGGAAGCCCTTCCAACGGTCGTTAAACTAACGGGAAATCCCCTAACGGTTACGAACCTTTCAACGGAAGCATGGCACTGTACACGCATTAAATGCACATTTAATGTTATACGTACGAAGAGATATTTAAAGCTGATGATTGACCATGCGAATATCTTTACGCCCCCAAAATAGCAAGTCGGAGGACCAAACGGTCAAGTCAACAGTACATGCATTTAATGAAGCTGTCTTCTACACTCCAACGGGAAGACCGCTCCCAGTATATAAGATACACTCTGAAGAACTAAGAAGATAACTTTGCCATAACCTTTGCCAAGATAGATTTGCGTGAACAACTTTCTTGAGATCAAAACTCCATTTCTAACAAGAAAAGGCCACAGTTGGAAGATAAACATTCCTATCCTTCATCCAACTAGCAAAGGCAAAGTTACTCAGTTCTTCAACACTTCGAGAGCTTCATATACTCATCTTTTGTGAAGAAGCAACGTTGGAGAAAACTGATTCTATATCAAGGGCACGGCCGACGAGGGCACCCGAGTCCCTTAGACTCAGGACCGTAATCCGAGTTGGCACCTTTTCGGCCGACGGGGGCGTCATGGCCGACGAGGGCGCCACTCTGTTGTCTTGTGCTCCGTTCTTCCGAGTATGTGGGTCCTGGGGCTCAGACCCATATACTCCATCAGGAGTCCCCCACTCTCTAAGCTGAGACGTAGACGAAGTGAAGGAGAGTAGATTTCTGTGCTGTTGCTTTTGGCCGACGCGGGCATTTCCAGGCCGTTAGCCGTTGCGGCGTTGGCGTTGTTTCCTCTTTGGTGATCCTGTTCTGTGCTTTGGCCGTTACCTGTTCCTCGCTGTGGGCGGGGAGGCCGTTGTTTCCTTAATTTGTTTTGGGACGATGAGTGTCCTTCTTTCAATGGTGGACGTTGAAGGCGCGCTTTCCCTTTCCTGGACGTTGGTGGTTGAAGTTTATGTTTGGGCCGGTGAAGCCGTTTGAGGTTGTCCCTTGTTTTGAGGACGGTGGCCTCATTTCCTTTGTGTGGCCGATGAGGGTGCTCGCGCACTCCTTTTGGCCATTGCTAGTTGGCCTTCGTGTTCTTGGCCGAAGGGCCCGTCAAGATTAATTGTTGGCGGAGGACGATGAGTGTCC